CCACTAGCCCTGAGGGAAATGCAGGTCATGCACCTGGGCTCCTGTCCCAATGCCTTAGCTGCCCCCTCCACCTGACATGACCCTGAACATGTCCCAGACACAGCACCTGCACCTTCTCCGTGCTACATGCCTGCACCCATGGGAACTGGCACCCATTCCCAGCACAACAGAGGACCCCAAGTCCCCCATAGCTCAACCCCAGCTTCATGGGACCCTGTACCTCTCCCCAGCAGACCAGGGGTCCTGCGTCCCTCACCCATGTTTTCTCCCAGCCCTCAGGTTTCAGACACACCAGGTCTCACCTTCCAGGTCGTATGTGCGGCGGTTCAGGTTTGCGGCAGCTGAAGACCGGGGCCGGGAGAAGGAGGAGGGCATCTCCCACAGTGTGTCGGGTTCTGCTCCTGTCGGGCTTCCCTCCTGCAATGAGCAGTCCAGGTCTCAGTGATGGGACAAGGAGGCCATGCTCCCTCAGCCCACATCCCCATCACCCTCCCACAGCCTGGCTCCTACCTCAGTACCCACTGCCCAGCCCCACGGCATGCACTGGGATTGCAGCGGGGCACGGCTTCCCCATGGACCATGGCAGCAGCCATGAGGCCATCTCTAACCAGGGCGGTGGGATCTTGAGCTCACCTGGCTCTGGTGTGGTGAGGAAGCGGCTGCAGCCTCGGCACACTCTGTCACTCGCATGTCTGCAAGGTAAGGAGTGATGCTCAGTGCCCAGGTCCTGGCCTGGCTGGTGACAGGATGGAGCCCATCCCAGGGAGCAGAAAGCAGCCTGGCCCTGTGAGCACTCCACAGGGGAACATGGCTTGGGGGGAGGACACTTCACCTGCTGGCATTTCGAGAATGAGTTTCTGAGCAGCTACCATGCTGACCAGCTTCTCCAGATCCACAGCAGCCGTCTCGCCTTGCTGCAACGGGAAGAGTCAGCTGGTGTCACACTCACTGTGGCATGGCAAAGGCAGCCAGGCTGAGGACCTGTGAGCTCCTCGGTCAGACCCTGCAAGGTCACGGGCTGCACAGACCAGTACCTCCTAGCTTGCCATGGGGTGCCATGGTCCATCCCAAACACCAGTGACTCTCCACAAGCCTGCAGGCTGCCCCCGGAACGAACCACTGCTCCCCACCACCTGGACACTACCAGCCCCTGGCCTGAGCCCCAAACCCAGGGCTCCCCCACCACAGCATCCCAGCCACAGGAGGCCGGGGCCGTTGCCCACCGAGGTGTGAGCCCTCACCCGCCGCAGCAGCGCCACCTCCATGCGCACGCCGTACTTCTCCAGCACCGGCTGCAGCGCTTCCCGGATGCGCTTGGTTGACTTTGCTGTGATGCGGATGGTCTTATTGAGGGAGGAGATTTCCAGCCTGTAGAGGAGAAGGAGAGGCTGTCTGCCGGCAAACACAGACAGGCAGGGGCAGAGCCTGGGCATTTGGGTCTCCCTGGGGTGTTGGGTGTGGGGCACCACAGGCAGCCACACGTGATGTGGACTGGACACATGTGGGCAACAGCATCAGCCCCGAAGCTCCCACTCACTCAAAGCTTATCCTGTTCTCCAGCTTCACCTCCTGGTCTGCCAACACGGTGCACTCCTGGTCCAGCACCAGTGCTTTCTACAAGAGCCAAACCATCAGAAGGGAGCAAGCAAGGTGGCGCACAGTCCCAGCCCAGGGACAGCCCGACTGGCAGGAGCCCCCTCTCCTCCTGCCCATCCTACCTGCTCATTTCCCACCAGGTAGACCTTGATGTCGGGCAGGCTGAAGCCGCGCTTCTCACATATCCCCGCCAGCATGTCGCGGATGGAGTGGCCAGGCCGGACGGAGGCCAGTGAGGCCGTGCCATCAGGCAGGTACACGCAGCAGTATTTCATGGGCTTGGCTGGCAGCTCTGCCTCGCTGCCCCCCAGGCTCTAGTGGGGGCGATGTGGTGGGATAAGCACGGCCTGTGGCAGTGTGATGCCATGGGGCTGGCACAGCAATGACTCACCTCCGTCCAGGGGCTGGTGGCCGTGCTGGCTGAGGACAGGAAGCCCAGGTCCAGGCTGGCCGAGGAGTTGAGTGAGCCCTGGGACTCCCGCCACAGCATGGCACTTCCACTGCCTTCTCCCCCCTCTAGGGCAGACAGAGGGACAGTAGTGATGATCACAGTCTCTCTTTGGTGTTGCACAGTCCTGGCTGCCCTGCTTGGCACAGCACCTACCTGCCCAGGAGGGCTCCCGCCGCTCTCCCTTCCTGAAGGACCGGCGAGGGCTGCGGTTGCCACCACTGCCCACTGTCTCCACACCCAGTGGCAGGGACTTGCCCAGCTTCAGCTTCGACTTCTGGGGCAAACAGAGAAGCATCTCATCGTGGGGACATCCAAGGCTTCCCCTTCCTTTTCCCAGGTCCCCCAACCACTTGTCTGTCCTCAGTCAGGGGCTGGGTTTGCTCCAAGGAGTGGGAAAGAGACCCAGGACCATTTTCTCAGGTGAAGTTCCCTGTGTCCCTTGCCCACCCCACTCACCTTGCTGAGGTCAGGCGGGGGGCTGCTGCTGCGGGAGTGGGGCCGCAGGTCGGGCAGGGGCTGCCCCTGGCTCTCTGCTCGCAGGCAGGCCTGGTACAGCGGGGATTTCACAAAGCGCGTGTAGCTGTCAAACTTCATCAGGTTAAAGATCTGCAAAGGGAGGATGGGTCTGCTCGAGACCCCTGCCCACCTACAGCTTGCTCCAGCCACTGCCCCACGTTGACAGTAGCGATGCTGGTTGATGCATGGGGTGGTCCTGCACCCTCCAGCCTGCCGGTGGGGTGCTGCTCATACCTGGAGCTGCTGGATGCGAAACATGTCTGGGGAGGGGTTGGCCAGCATGTCCTCCCCAATCCAGGCCTGCTTGTCGATGTTCACGGGACTGACTGAGTGGCTGGACAGGAACTCATCGTAGATCCGCCGTGCCTCCTGGGCCAGCTGAGGGAACGGGGGGGGTCAGGCCAGGACCAGGAGCCCCCTCCTCTCTGCTACCCCACAGGGATCCCCTGGCTCACCCTGCAGAGCCACTGGAGCCCTGAGGGACCAATGCCCCCCGGGACCAGCTCAGTAGCTGGGCTTCAGGATGGGCATTGGAGCGAGCCACTCCCACCCAGCATCAAGCTTTCAGCACAACACACCACTCTCTCCACGGAGTTACAGCCTGAGGTAGGAACTGTCCCCCGGCTGTGTGACTGTCTCCATGAGCCCCCATCAAGCTCTCTGCCCTTGGTCTCTTGTCCTCCCAGCAGCACTCTCCACCCTCTGGTGGCCCTGGGTTGCAGAAGCACACCCTCCTCTGTGGGGCAGGCAGTCCCAGCTGTGGCTCTTCCAATGCCCATTGCATCCATTTCCTCGTCCCTCCCGCAGGAGACACCAGCCTGCTCAGCCTCCCATTACAGAGGTCTGCTAGGACTCTGGGACATGCAGGCATGGCAGCCACCTCCACCTCTGCCCACATCCCTCCACAGCAGCTGTGTGACCCAGGCTCAGCCACACCATGGCTGCACGGAGGCCGGTACCTGCTGTGTGTCGCTGGCTGGGATCTGCTGGAAGCGCTCACATGCCTGCCAGAAGTAGACATTTTCGGCACTGAACTCCTTCTTGAGGAACTCCTGTGGGGCCGAGAGAGCTGCTAGCCTGGCCGGCACTGTGGCCGTGGGACAGTCGGTTGCCAACAACAGATGGGAGCAGGGACCAAGGTCTGGGCTGTGGCACTCACAGTGAAGTAGGTGACGGCCACGCGGTCCTGCAGCAGAGTCTCAAAGGATTCGGCCCAGCTGACCACAGACCCCTGTGTGGAGCCGCAGGTGGCCGATGGTCCTGGCAGGCTGTTCACGCTATGGTTGCTGCCACGGGCCCTGGAGGCATTTAACTCTGAGAGAGAAAAAGGGTCAGTTCTGGCTGCCTGGATGTCCCCTCGCGTCACCCTCTGTTGCCAGCAGTCCCCCCATATCTGCAGCAAGTTCATCCGCCCCATCCTGATGTGAGGTGGTGAGACCTCAGGAAGGGAGCACGAGGAACTGGTATCACAGTGGCATCCTCGGCAGATCAAACATGGTGATGCTGCTGCTGGCACCTTCTGGAGTGACAGCCCTCCCTACCAGTGCTGGCCATCCTCCCCTCCCGGGGTGTCACCCTGGCTCCACCTGTGACTCATCTCCCAAGGGAACAAAGTTGATGCACAGGGGAGGCACCCAGCCGGGAGGGAGAGCATGGGGACACGGGGGGCACATGGCACGGAGGGAAGCTTGGAGGGTGGGCAGAGGTTCTTGAACTTACCTCATCCACTCCTCTGGCCATGAGGAACACACCCAGTGAGAGGAGGGCACAGAAAGTGTCACCCCCTGCTCCCAACCCCAGGTAAATCCTCCCTCCGGAAAATCCTCTGTGCATTCAAATGAAGTCCCTCTGCCAAAAAGATGGAAGTTCCCAGGGGCAACCGCGGCTTTTGAACTGGTTTGGCTGGTGAGTAACTGGGAGCAGAGGGTCATTTGCAAGAGAAGCTAAGGGTATGGAAACGGGGTTCTCCTGGCAAAGCCAGTGGGAGCAGAGGAGGCAGCAGACTGCTGCTTTGCCAAGCTCCGTGCCCTTCTCCTCCTGTCTGAAACACAGGGTAACTGCACACACCCTCTGCGTGCAGGTGGGAACAGCAGCCCCCACACCCTGTGCTGGAAGGATCCTGCAGCAACAGATGTGCAAATGGGCCAGCTAAGATACCTGGTGGACAGTGAGACAGATGGACACAGACAGACTGACTGACCCTCAGGGAGCACAGGACTGGTTGGTACCCAGGCTGTACTTGCCCCGGGAAGCCTCTCGACCCCCAGCACCCAAGAGTGGGTGCTGAGCAGCCAGAAGGGAGGGACAGGCAACAGGGGCCATGCGGGAGGCATGGCAAGTCCCTGGCACGGGGCTCAGCCCAACTCTGTGGGAGCCTGGCCATGCACTTGCCCACAGCACAGCCTGTGCTGACACAGGACATGGCTCTCTGCTGGCTCCTTGCCCCTGGCACCAGGATGGCTGTGGGCTTCCCCCCCCCCGAAGATGATGCCAGCCTCCTGTCCCAGAGCAAAGAGCAGCCTTACCTCCATCCGACACAGCCGGGCCCTGCGGGGGTGGAGAGAAGAGAGGTGAGAGGGGCCACACAGCATCTGTCAGCCCAGTGGAGCAGTGCCTGGGCAGGCAGCAGCGTCAGGGCAAACCCAGTCTGAGCCCAAGAGCAAGGAAACCCGGGCTGCCGGCAGACACTGCTCTGGTGTTAGCTGCAACCAGGATGGCTGCCCCATGGCAGAAGCAGGGCATGGGGCTCCCCAGTAGAGGTGGGGGGTTACAAGAGGTACACAGCTTTTCTCCCACTTCCTGTGCATCTAATGCTCTGGGTCCAGGCCAGCAATTGGGAAAGGGCAGATGCTATCAGATGTAATGCTGCCACCGCTGCCCCAGGAGGAGAGAGACAGCCTCCCCAGCACAGGAAGAGGAGGGGAGGAGGGGAGGGAAGGAAGGACAACCACAACCCCAGGCAGGCAAAGTGCCTGCTCCCTCCTTTCTTGGGGCCTGAGACTACTGGAGGGCAGATGCCCAGAAATAGTGACCAGATCCTGCCAGAACTGCCCATGAAGAGCACGGCAGGACAGAGTGCCCTGCAGCATCCCCTGGGCTGCCCCAGATACCTGCAGTGGGGATGTGGTACCCCAAGACCCACAGCTAGCAGGGATATGGCCAAAGCCTCCGCAGTTAAAGCCCAGCCAAGAATCCCCTACGTGGCACTGCTGGCACTGCCTCCCATCGTCTGCCTGGGGCCACACTGAAGTGATGCCTTTGTCCTCGCTGTCCAGAGCCCCCCACCATGCCAGCCCCACACACCCCAACCTGCTCTGCATGTCCCCTGCCTGTCCCCATCCCAGCCCCACACACCCTAGCCCCACTATCCCACCCAGTCTTTCCTTGCTACCCCACCCCACATGCTGCTGCCATGCCCCTTACCCCAGCCCCACATCTCAGCCCTGCCTGTCCATTACTCCAGCCCCTCCTTGCTCTTCCCCATCCACCCCTGCTGCCCACACCCACATAGCTCTGTCCTGCGTGAGCCACACAGCCCCCCCCACACCAGCACTGCTGACTCCCATTACCCCATCCCAATATGTCACTGCTCATCCATTACCCCATGCCATACATCCC